CAGCTGATATTACGCGAGCCTGGCGACTTTCGAATGTGTTTCCCTGTGCCGGTGTTCGGGGCGTGCGTGCGAGCGAGGGTGCCCCCCCCCCCCCCGCCTGAGGGGCACATTTTCCGGGCGCCCACAAACAAGCCGGTTTTCAGTTTGGGCATCCTCTTCCTCAACCCCTCCCCCCTTTTTTCTCTCCCCCTCCCCTTCCGTCTCCGGCCCCCCTTGCCATCCGCCAGCCCCCTTGTCTCCTGGTGCTTGATCTCCTTCTCGTTCCCCCCTCCCCGCCCCCCAACCAGGCACCAAATGCTCCCCTCGTCCTTTACTCCGATGTCTTTCCTATCGTCTTCCCTGTTCAAGGGGCGGACCGCCCGTCTGGCAGTGGGCGTGGCAGCCGGCCTCGGCGTCTGGGCTGTGGTTCTTTCGGCCGCTGTCAACTACGGCAAGACCTGTTCCCCGCTGGTGGTGGACATTCTTTTCAACTTGCGCACTGCCCCCGTCCTGCACCACTACCTCGGCGAGCCGATCACCACCGGCTACTGGATCAATGGACCAATCAACCACTATAAGGTAGGTCTGGCCGCGATGCTGCCCCTGGGCTGGATCTGCCCTTGTCTCTTGCCTCTCTCTCTCTCTGTCATGCCACAAAAGCTCCTTTGCTGCATCTGACGTATCTGGCTGACATCTGGCACCCCCGCCCCGTGTGTGTGTGTGTGTGTGTGTGTGTGCGTGTGTGTGTGTGTGTGTGTGTGCGTGTGTGTGTGTGTGTGTGTGTGCGTGTGTGTGTGCGTGTGTGTGCGTGTGTGTGACCAAACACACAGGGCGTCGCCGACATCAACTTCCGTGTGTCCGGACCCAAGGGTGCGCCGACGAGTTGCGATCTGCCCCGCCTTTCCGCCCTCCCCTCGCCGCACCCACTCCCCGGGCCATTCCACCATCATTGACTTGCCACGCTCCCCGTTCCCTGCGCATCCCCTCCCCGCCATTGCCGATCCCAGACAACGGGCGCATCTTCGTCAATGCACGCCGCAGGATTGGCCCGTGGTACCTGTCCGAGGTGAAGCTGGTCCTGGACAGCGACCCGGACAACCCGCTCCTCCTGCGTGTGGCGTAAGTGCGCCCCGCCGCTGTGGCCGTTATCCACACCGCATCAGCTGGAGGTGGTCAGGAGAGGGTGCCTCGCCGGGCATTTCCCCACTCCACCCGACTTAGAGGGGTGGCTCGGCTTGCCGGGGCTGGCCGGCATCCCACCCTCGCCATCCCCTGCCCCTCCGTTTCTGGTGACATGTGCGCGTGTGTTTGCGGGGGCGCCCACCTGCCGCTGCATGCATTGGCCCGGCCTTCCTTGCTTCCCTCTCTGCTCCGTTAGCCTCGTGTTCCGCGCATGTGTGTGCCTTCGCCGACCTCCGCTCGCTCCGAACAATACAAAATAGTTAGATAGACTGGCTGGATGCCGGGTGTGTTCCCGACCGAGAGGGCATCCTTCCCGCCATCGGGGGGCGGGGCGGGGGGGGGGGGGGGGGG